TAACTTCATTAAAACTAAAAACTTCTATGCTTCAAAGGACACTATCAAGAAAATGAAAAGACAACACACATGGGAAAAAATATTTGCAAATCATCTATCTCACAAAGATCTTGTGTCCGGAATATGTAAAGAACTCTTACAACTCAAGAAAAGAAAGATAAATAATCCAATTAAAAACTGGGAAAAGGGGCTTCCCTGGTGGCACAGTGGTTGAGAGTCTGCCTGCCAATGCAGGGGACACGGGTTCGTGCCCCGGTCCGGGAAGATCCCGCATGCCGCGGAGCAGCTAGGCCCGTGAGCCATGGCCGCTAAGCCTGCACGTCCGGAGCCTGTGCTCCGCAATGGGAGAGGCCACAACAGCGAGAGGCCCGCATACCGCAAAAATAAATAAATAAATAAATAAATAAATAAAACTGGGCAAAGGATTTAAATAGACATTTAACAGACGAAGAAAATATACAAAAGGGTAATAAGCACATGAAAAGATGTCCAACTTCCTTGGTTATGAGAGAAATGCAAGTCAAAATCACTATTAGATACTACTTTACATCCACTAGAATAGCTATAATTAAAAAGATAGATAATAACAAGTGTTGGTGAGGATGTAGAGAAACTGGAACTTTTAAACATTGCTGGTGGGAATGTAAACTGATGTAGCCACTTTGGAAAACCATTTAACAGTTCCTCTAAAAGTTAAACACAGAGATACCATATGACCCAGCAATCCCACTCCTAGGTATACACCCAAGAGAACTGAAAATATATGTCCACACAAAAACTTGTACATGAATGTTCATAGCAGCATTATTCATAATAGCCCAAAGTGGAGACAATCCAACTGTCCATCAACTGATGAATGGATAAACAAAATGTAGTATATTCATTCAATGAAATATCATCCAGTCATAAAAAGAAATATAGTACTCACATATGGTAAAACATGGACGAACCTTGAAAACATTATGCTAAGTGAAAGAAGCCAGACATGAAAGATCACATATTCTATGATTTCATTTACACGAAATGTCCAAAACAGGCACGACCATAGAGTGAAAAAGTAGACTAAGAGTTGCCAGGGGCTGGGGAAAGTAGGGAATGAGGAGTGACTGCTAATGTGTCAGGTTTTTCATTCTGGGGTGATGAAAATGTTCTAGAATTAGTGGTAATGAGTGTATGATTTGGGGAATATACTAAAAACCACTGAATTATATATTTTAAAAGGATGAATGTTAAGATATGTGAATGAAATCTCAATTTAAAACACATCAAGTATGTTAGCAGATATAAAAACATACATTATATTTATATGTATATAAATATATACAAAAGTATACTGTTGTTATGCCTCTTCCTTTTGCCCCATTTCCAAATCCTAAAGAAATATTGACAACCTGTGTCACCATGTTTATCCTGTGCGTTTCTGTGTTACCTGGCCCACCTCCAGATACTCCTGGTTGAAAAACATGGGCCGAGGGAGCCAGAAAGGGAATCAAGGAGCAAGATGTTTATGGGCCCATTTGGTGTCACTGAAGGCAGAAACATTTTCTAGTCCATTTTATCACAGAAAAGGAAAGAGACTTCAGAAGGACCACAAAGTTGGTTGGAAAAGCCCTTAAAATTCTTTACCTCTTTTTGCTCTCATTCTACATTCATCAAACCACTTTCCCAAGGGTTTTAACACCAAGAAGGGAGCATATCCTCCCATTAGAGAGGAATCATCTCCATTGAAAATCATCTATTTGTCTGTCTATCTATCTATCTATCTCTGTGTGCATTTGGCTTCCTGTAACTTGAATCACTCTCCCTGCGTCTAAGTCTTAGACAATGAAAAACTAAGGGCCAGACTCTGGATTAAGGTAAATTCACCTCAATCAAGGGATAAATAGATTTTAATCTATATGCTAACTGACCGGGCTGGCACCATGATCTTGGACTTCCAGACTCTAGAACTGTAAGAGAAATTTCTGCTCTTTATGAGCAACCCCGTCTATGGGGATCTGTACAGCAGCCTGAACAGACCAAGACGAACACAAAATATTAACATATCAGAATCAATTTGTTCATAAACTCCCGCAATTTGGCCAGTATTATCACTTTGATATTTCAGCACAAGTTCACTACCTACCTCGTCAGAAGCAGAAGACAGTTACAGAGAAGCAGAGACAAGACAGGAGGAAACAACTGAGCCTTGCAACTGGGTGAGCTCTTACATTCCTTTATCTCAAGGTTTTCTAACAAAAGATGAGAATGATGTGCTGAAAGTAACTCTTAGTAAATCTCAATATAGGAAAAATAGTTTTATCACCACTGCCTTCAAATTTGAATTATAGCCAGTTTTGAATTTCTCCTCATCCTGAGCCTCCCTTCCTTTGGTGAAAGTGCTAAGAAAAGTAAAATGGTCAAGGCATGAGGCCTGGGGTGGGGCAGTGGAGGTGGCAGGAGGTGGGGGTGGATAGGAGAGAAATGTGAGATCAACTTACAATGCTGAGAGTTGACTACTTCTTGCAAGAGTTAAATGCCCGTCAGTAATTGTAGCCCAGTAAGAATGTGTACTTCCACATGTATTTCTTTATGAAGTATAGCTCAGAGAAGATGAAGGTCTCCTTCAAAGTTGCCTACTGGGCTTCCCTGGTGGCGCAGTGGTTAAGAATCCGCCTGCCAATGCTGTGGACACAGGTTCGAGCCCTGGTCCGGGAAGAGCCCACATGCCGCGCAACAACTAAGCCCATGCGCCACAACTACTGAGCCTGTGCTCTGCAATGAGAAGCCACCTCAACGAAAAGCCTGTGCACCGCAACAAAGAGTAGCCCCCGCTCACCGCAGCTAGAGAAAGCCTGCACGCGGCAACGAAGGCCCAACGCAGCCAAAATTAATTAATTTAAAAAGCGGTCTATTAACAGATAACTGTTTCTAGTCAAAAGATCTCTAATATATAGCAACCATCTGATCATTCCTCACAATCACTGATTATACACAAAGAACAATGGCAGTGCCTTCTGGCCCTGGGATCCTACTCCAAAATGGACATCTGCCAGCCTTATTCAGAACAAATGTTCAGTTAGCTAGCTTATATCTGCTTTAATTCCCTTACTATTTCCTTAGACACAATGGAGTTTAATTATTGTGTTCAAAAATACTGAGAGCTGGTGATTTTCTAATGTAAATTAAGGAATATAGTCCGGGTTTAATATGCTAATGCCCATCGTGATGTTTTTAAACCTGTCAGTAAATCACCTAGACAAATTTAGTTCAACATGTTCTTAATTCTTGTTACAAACAAAATATTGGGTATACCTCAGATCACAGTTTTGCAACCTTGGCACAATTAACATTTGTGGCCAGATAATTCTTTGTCGTGGGGTCTGTTCTGTGCCTGGTAGGATGTTTAAGAGTACCCCTGGCCTCTATCCACTATGTTCCAACAACACCCCTGTAGCTGTGACAACCAAACATATCTCTAGACATTGCCAAATTCCCTAAGGGACAAAACCATCCCGGGTGAGAATCAATGCTCTGGATAAATGACAGATGCCTCAGAGAGAATGTCTTTAGACGATTCTAACACAGCAAAACTTCCCCACTTCCCCATAGGTTTGAATCCCAGATCTGCTATTTCCTCCCTGTATGATCTTGAGTGAATTTACCTACTCAAGCTGTGCCTTTGGTTTCTCCTCTGGAAAATGGGAATTACAATAGTACCTACAACTCAAAGGCGTAAATAAAATGATCCACTTAGCAAATAGCAAGCACTCAGTAACTGCGGGCTGCCGTTATTGCTATTGTTAATATTTTCATCCCAATTTCAGCTTTTCGAGGTCCTCACTCTGCAATCAGTGAGCTAGGGCTCTTAGGATATTCAGCTGGAAATTAAGATTCTGACTGAGGGACAGTTGCTCTTTTGAACAAGCAATATGATGCAGGTGGTAAAATATGGATTTTGGAGAAAACTGGGATTCTAATTCTCATTTCCTTGGGATTTTCAAATCTCACACTTCCCACCTTCATGAACATTATCCTCAAAATAGGGCTGGTAGTAACATCATCAACACCGTGTGTGAAAATTAATGACGAAACCTATATTTTTAAAACTGCTCTGAAAATTACTGCAACGTGGAGCTGGTGGCCGTGAAAATGCTGCTCCCAGGGCCTCCCCTAGGGGGCGTAATTGACCAAGGTCCCCAGCTTCTGTGCTTTGAAATCCAACACCTCATTTGCACCAAAGACCATGGCTCCACCTGGCTGCTCCCCACCAATGACTGCATTGGAGGGAGGATACTAAGGTAGGCCCGTTCCTGGGAGACACAGCCCTCCTCTGTCCTTGGCTCTAGTGAGAATGAAATAAGATGAGCAGTGAGCAGAGTGCCTGACACATACGCTGCACTACACAGTGCACGGCACTATAGTTAAAAACACCAGCCCGATTCCATATGTTAATTCCTCACTTTTGTTCTTAGAGATCCCAAGAAAGAAAAAGCATATTTGGACTTAATAGTATCACCTTATGGTTTGTGATACTGTTGCTGGACACCGTCCCACAAATCTACACATTTATACATTTTATGTGAATATGTGTTTGATTTTACGTTTTGATGGATTAAAATACATACATGTTTAAACCAAATAGAATGCAACCCAAAGGAAAAAAAAAACAATTTGGATTTGCTGGCACTGTTTTTCCTCTAGTACAGAGACTCAAGTTCTTTGATATAGTAAATGCATAGGCAGTCCGCACTTTACACATGAGATGCCTCCTTGAGAGACTGTGTGTGAAGTAAAAAAGTGGAATATACTCTAACTGGTATTGATTAGTTACTGCTACTTAACATACCATCCCAGAACTCACCCGCTTCAAATGACAACCAGTTATTCTTGCTCACACATTTGTGGGGCGTGCTAGGCTGGCTTCAGGGGGCTGCCTTGGCTAGGGTGACTGCTCCAATGTGACCTGCATTCTCTTCCTGAGGCCAGCAGGTGAGTCTGGGAACGCTCTCCTCACAGCGATGGCAGAACACAAGAAGGCAAATGGAAAGACACAGACCCTGTAGGACTCAGGCTCTACGGACACATTGCCACTTCTGCTTCGTTTTATTGGTCGAAGCAAGTCATATCACTGAACAACAAATCAAAGGTAGGGAAAGCTCCTCTGCCCCCAATGAGACACAGCAAGGGCACTGATGCAGGGAGGCGTGAAGAACCAGGGCTACAATCTCAGTCTCCTGCAGACCCTGACAAATTACTTAAATAGGGATGTTTCCATAGAAAATTCCAGGGCCTCAATTAATATTAAGCATAAAAAGGCGGAGGTGCTAATACATGTTTGGAATATACAGAAAAGTAAAGAGAATAATATAACAAATACCCATGTATTGACCTTCAATAATTAATAAATTCATGTTTTAACATAGTTGCTTCTGATCTTTTTCTCTTCTATAAAGTATTTTAGAGTTTAAGCACTTTGCATATCCTTTCACAATTCTCTCTCTCTCCCTCCTCAGAGGTAGCTATTATCCTAGAGTTAGTTTGTGCACATTTTTGTATTTTTACTATACATGCAGATATTCACAAAGATAATACACTTGCTTTCAAAATTTAATAAGTGGTTAAATTTAATTCTGTGTATAACATTTTAAAAGTAGCTTTTTTATTCAAAAGTGTTCAACAGTAGATCTAGCTGTTTTAAAACATACAGACTGCCTTCATTTGAACTGTTAAATTATATTCCAAATGTTATTATTATACTCCATTGTATGATGATATCCTAAGTCATCTTTTCCTCTATTTATGGATACTTTGGATATTGTTAATTTTGTAACATTGTTACAAACAAGCAAACATTTAAAATCGTATATTTAAAGGAAAAAAATATAATTTTATCAAAATAGTAAAATTATTTGCAAACATTACACACATGTAACTGAACTGATGATCCAAAAAAAACCCAAGGGATATATACTAAAGAATATGTTATAGAGGGTCATACATTATTAATGGTCTTTTCTGAAATATGTCCTACCCAGGAAATGAAAGGTAGATCTTCTAGAAGATAGTACTAAGCATTCAATTTTTCACGGGATATTCTCCCACCAGTCACAGCCCAGGAAAGAGTCACTCTTCACCCAGCCTTATCACTTTCTGTTAATATTTAGTCAGCATTTCCAATAAAGTTAGCTTCCTCAGAACAAAAGCTTTTACATAGGTCCTACATATGAGCCAAACAGCTATCCATGGAATATCAGAATCTGATTCCCCCCTGTTCTCATATTTGTTTTGTGTGTCTCATAACAAATTAAAGATATGAGAGATGCAGCATTCTAAGGCTAAATAGCTAGAAAATACTAATTCAAACTTGAGTATTCTTCCAAGAGAGCATAGGGGCAATCCTAAGTATCAGAGGAAGAAGCATCCTAAGGGAGACCAAAGCCAAACGTTTTCCACAGGAGTCCTCCTTCCGGCTGTTTTGATTTCACCTGGTAAGTCAAAATTACAATTTTACAATCTTGGCTGACTTTTGAAAACTGATTTCAAGGATAGATTTAAAAGTCATTAACATCATAATCACAACAGAAACTTGTCTATTTGGTTATTAAAAGTGGAACAGGAAGGATACACGGGGGAGAGGGGTGGTCCTCAATGAGTTCCATCTGAATGTTCTGTTTCTTTAATGAGAGAAATAGAAAAGTCTTTCTGTCTTAGTCTAGGACTTAATCGGAACAAAATTAGAAAATAAAGTTTGTATAAGAATCTGATTTATAAAACTCCTGATACAGAGACTAGTATGGATTAGGACAAGGGGAACTGCCACAGCACAAGAGAAAATGAATAAATTAATAAACTGTCTAATATATGTCTCAATTCTGAAGGCTAAATATTAGTTGCCAAAGAGATCTGAAGCTTGGCTCCGAGGTATAAGACTTATGAAACCCACCTTTTAGAGGTATATTCAAGAATATGCTTAATGGCCATATTCTGTAGCTTCTCTTCATAGCACATATATTACTGAATAGCAAAATATCTTTAAATAAAATCAACAACCAAATTAGCAGATTCTTGCTTTTACTTGTTTTTGTTAGTCTGTCCTGAAGTAAAAGGACGAGTTTCTTAACGCATCTCTCTGTGAACGTTAACAATTGGAAATCCATGAAATTTAATTCAAATAAACATTTATCAAGTGCCTACTCTATTAAAGAGAAGTCGCACTAAAAACAAAGTTTGCACAAAATACACAGAGAGAGCCAGCGCGCTCCTCCATGTTTTACTGCTTCATAATTTTTTAAATAATTGTTTTACTCCCTTCCCCACTTTCTCTTCTCACTCCACTCTAGGCTAAATTAGTTTGACATGTTCTTATTTCTAAGAATCTCCTCTTCTATGTTTGCAAATATGAAAGAGATTTATTTCCTGTTAAATAAACTTTGCTATAGTGCAGAGTTTGCTTCTGCTTTAATTCAAACATTTTCTTGGATTTGATTATGAAGACTAGCAATAAAGAAAATTTCAAAGTTACTAAAGTAACTAAAGAATTTCTAGAATTATTTGTTTGAGCCATGCTGTTTATTTTGTTTAACCTAAACATAGTGGTCCCCATACCAAGTCATGAGCAAAAAAAAATTTGAAAAGTGCAATCTATACCACTGTTTAATGAATAATCTGAAACAAACTATAATGATAAAGGTAAATGCTTATAAAGAAACACACAAATACTCTACATGTCATAAAACAGACTTCCGTGACCAGGGGAAAAGCCCATTTTATAGCTGAATCAGGAGTTAAAGGAAGCCCACCCCTTAAACTACAGGAAAATTAGAGAGAAAGTATAGTGAAAACAGAATTTTTCAATCTACTGGGAGACACAAGGATAGTAGAGATTGGGAATATGTGGTCAGGAAATGTGCTTCTCCTGTTTCTCCTTTTTAGCACTGGCTGGGCCATGGGCTACTATATGTGCTGGCAAGTCTTCCAATGAGATCAGGACATGTGACAGCCACGGCTGTGGCCAGTACACGGCTCAAAGGTAACAGGGTTTCACACATAACCATATCCTCTTTTGGCTCGTAACCTCTTTGCTTAGTGTCCTTGCCCAAAGTTCCTTCAAGTGCTCACCATCTTCTCCCTTCCTACAGCAGGGAAATTCAGAGATATAACCAGTTACATTACCACGTTTGGAGCAACTTCCAAGAACAGGGCGTCAACTCTGCGCTCTGAATTAGGAACAGAGCATTGAACAAGGGCAAGAGAGAGGAGAGCAGTGTTTTCTCTCAATGTTTTCACACGTTGACTCACCTCACCTGGCTTTTCCAAGGTGGAAGCCAAACATTACTGTCCCATTTTATAGATGAGGAACTTGAACTGGGGCACCAAAGGGTTAAGGGACTTGCCAAACACAGTTGGAGGTGGTGAAGGCTGGACTAGAATTCAGGCTTTTGGATCCTCTTCCCATCAAACCATGGTGTTACTGACCCAGGCTCTGGGAGGTGAACAACTGAGGCTGGCCCTAAGCAGGTCATCTCTTCCAGACAGTGAGAGACACACATGTGAACTTTCAACAGTGCACAGTACTACCTTGGGACTGCCACTTTCTGATGAAATAGCCATGTGTCCAACTGTATCACTGATCTCCATCCTAATCACAGAACAACTCTCACTCATACAGATACTACTTACAAAGCAACCTCACATACCTGGAATAGGGCTAAGAGACAGGACATAGGGGAAAGTGGCCGCTGAATTGCCAAAATTAAGACTCAATTAGTTCATACCCTAAACTTTATGCACTTGACTCATACAATAACTTACTGGCTCGTCACCTGGAATCTGCTCAGTGTTGCTTTACACGTGATGCTAACAGTCCTAGTGAATCTGACTTTCAGGTAGACTATTAGAAGGGAGAAGAGGCGGGTGGAGAACGGGCATAGTGTCAACAGTGAGGACTGGTGGAGATGACAAGAAATCTCACAACCTGGGATCGTTTTGTGTTTGTGCTCCACACACTTTAATAAATGCAGGAGGTATCACTCACTATATTAAAACCATACACAATAAATGATGTTTATAATGACTTATGGATCACTGGGAGAAAAATAAGACTAGGGTAACATATGATTCTTTTATCATAGGTTCCCATAAAAAGTCATCTCTTTTCTAAGTGGTCTTGCAGGGGTCAAGATTCAGTTATCTATAAAATTTACTTACACGGATTGCCTCATTTCCCCAAAATGCCATATAATAATAATGGCTAACATTTTTAAAGGCTTCCTGTGTTTTACTATCTTAAATGTTTTAACCTTTATAACATCGTTATTACAACCTGCAGAGAAGGAGGTGAAAATTGGGTAAACAGAGTGAGGAAACCTGGGACATTCCAACACGTTCCAGCAGCTTCAACTTTTGATACCCTGGTCTGGGAACAGTGGGCTAACACCATGTTCCTGGGCAATAAAATTCCCAGGGCAGTTCCTCAGTCTGTTCATTCTTATTTACATCCTGGAAATCATAGGCTTCACCAGGGTGTGGATGTCTTGTGCTCGGATGGATCTACTGTGTATGCACCTTTCACCGGAATGATTGTGGGCCAGGAGAAACCTTATAAAAACAAAAATGCCATCAATAATGGTGTTCGGACCTCTGGAAGAGGTAAGGGGTGGTGTATATACCTGGAGCACATACTGGAGATGTTTGATGCTTATTTATTTAATGCGTATTCTATACAAAGACGTTTCATTCTTCCTTCAAAGTGACAAAACCTAGGACCTAAAGGACAAAGGGTACCAGACTAAAGCAGCCCTTGCATTTTCAAAGATGTTCCACCACTTTCTCTGAAGTCATCTTCTTTATGCATACACTCCCCACCTAACTCTACAGTTGACTGAAGGGCTTTCTTCCTGAGGCCCATGTGGCTTTGCTTAACAATCTACAAGCAAAATCACTTTCAGCATTGCGGTATTAACTGTAATGAACAGATGCTTTCATTCACCAAAATCCCACAATTCGAAAATGTTGGCATCTCTGCAAGAGTTGATGTGAACTATTTTCAAATGCTCTATGTTCTAGGTAAAGCTGGGCCTCCTGGTACTCCAGGTGCTGGGCTTATTGTCTGGTTGTTTTAACTGGATTGACGTAGAACATACACACAGCAAAGTGCACAAAGCAAAAATGGCCAGCGCCATGAATTGTCACAAAGTAAGCTCACCTGTGTAGCCTGTTGGTTCCATCAGATCAAGAAAAAGAATATCAGCAGCAGTTCAAAGAACCCTTGTGCTACCTTTTAGTCATCACTCCCAGCAAGGGTGATTACTATCCCACCACACATTAGCTTTGCCTGTTTCTGAAAATGACTTAAATAGAATTAAACAGCATGCAGTCTTTTGAGTGGGGCTTCTTTTACTCCACATAAGGTTTGTGAGATTCATTCATGTTTTTGCATGTAGTTTAAGTCCCTTCACCCTTATCGATGTAGAGCATTCCATTGTATGCACATATCTTCACCTATTTAATCATTCTTCTCTAAACGGACATCTGGGCAGTATCCAGTTTCAGGCGATTATGAAAATGCTGCTATGAACTTTCTGTACATTTCTTTTCATTAACATAAACATGCATTCCTGTTGGGAGTGGATCCGGAAGACACTCCTCTCACTAAGGCTGTGAGAAACACTTTGTGAGGGAGCCCACATCCTTGAGGAGCTATCTGGTGGCTATCCTCTCTAGGCCTGAAATGACAAGAGGAACTACTGCCATTGAGTGGAGTCCACTTAGAAGCCAAGGCTGGCATGGTTATCCAACAGGGAGCAGAGCTGAAGCAGTAATCAGGTACATCAGAAGCAGAGACCTGTGGCATTGTCTAGTTAATCATGGTGACCTAGAACTGAATACATGGGCAGCCTGCTAAAGCCTTATTTGATTTGTATAAATGGAAACACTCTAGGTCTGATGAACAAAATTCTGACTTCAATCATGACAATACTGGGTCTCAAAACCTTCCTCCCAACACCATCCACCAATTCCCAGACTTGAGCCAGTTCACAGTCCCAGAGCCCCTTGAATGAAAGAGAGGCTGAGTCCTTCTGAGGAAGGGCCCTATTACAATGCCAAAACTTTCTACTGTAACCCTTACTTCTAGCCATCCCCAAAAGGACCTGCAGCCTTTCAGCAGGATGATTGTATACTGGGGAAGAAGAGACTCGCTCAAAACTGACAGTAATTCCTAAAGACCCAAGCCACTGTAGTCCATCAATCAGACTAGGGGCTTCTAGGGTCAGGTGATCAACATAGTTTTTTCCTAGGGTCCACCCTACAGTTGGCCTAGTGCATCCACATATCCACCCTGTGGTAATTTCGCCGGTACCAGAATGCGTAACTGGAATCAATATACTCAGCAACTGGCAGAACGCTGGAGGAGTGGAGTTGCTGGGTTACTTGGTATATGTATCTGCAGTGCTAGAAGGTACTGCCACCCAGTCTCCCCGAGTAGTGGTACCAATTCACAGCCCCAACAGGAGTGTATGAAAGTTCCAGTTGCTCCATACACAATACTTGGTGTTATCTAGCTACCTTTCTCATTTCAGCCATTCTGATGAGTATGTAACGGTATCTCACTTAAGTTTAATTTGCATTTCCATGATGGCTAATGATATTGAGCCCCTTCTCATATTTATTGATAACATGGATATTGTCTTTCGCAAAGTGCCTATTCATGTATTTTGCCCTGGCTTTTTTGCCTTTTTCTTATTGGTATGTGGGAGCTTTTTGTGTCTTTTGGATATGAGTCCTTTGTCCAATATATGTATTGTAAGTATCTTCTCCCACTTTATGGGTTCCTTTTCACTTTTCTAGTGTTTTTTAATAAACAAAAATTCTTATTTTTAATGCAGTCCAATTTAGTAATATTTTCCCTTACCTTTGATGCATTTTTATTACCCGTTTAAGACACATCTGCCCACCCTAGTCATAAAGGTATTGTCCCTATGTTTCTGTGTACAAGCTTGATTGCTTCATCATTCATACTTAGATTTATAATCCATCTGGAATTGGTTTTTGTGTAAGGAATGAGATAGGGATCAAAATTTCCCCCCGTATCGACATCTGACTCAGTACCATTAACTTGCCAAGACCATTTTTTCCTTGCCACACGGCAGTATCTCTTGTCATAGATCAGGGTTTGAATATACATAGGTCTGTTTATGGTCCTTCTATTGTGTTTCACTGGCCAGTTTGTCAATCTTCCACAAATACTGCACTGTCTTAATTACCATAGCTTTAAAATACATCTTGATATAAATAATATAAATCTTCCAACTTTGATCTTCTTTCAGATTGTCTTGGCAATTCTTGGGTTATTTGCATTACCAAATAAATTACAGAATCAGTTTGTCAATTTCCACCAAAAATTTTGCTGGGACTTTGGGTTTGCATTCATGATACAGGATCAAACTGAGAAGAACTGATATCTTAAAAGTAATGAAAGTCATCCAATCAACGAACTTGTTAAATCTTCCATTTATTTAGGTCTTCTTACACTGTTGTATTAGTAACTTAATTAGAGTTGTATTAGTATCAATGTAGAGGTCTTGCACATATTTTTGTTTAATATATGTGCATAAAATGCACCTTATTAATTTTCCATAGATCTTCTATAGCAGTACTGTCCAACAGAAGTATAATAAAAGCCACATATGCAATCTTAACTTTTCAGTAATCATATTAAGTAAAAAGAAACAGTGAAATTAATTTTAACAACGTATTTAACTTAATACCTCCAAATTATTATTTCAAAATGCAATTAATATAAAAATTAGTAATATTTTACTTTTTGGGGAGTACTGTCTTCAAAATCCAGTGTGTATCTTATACTTAAAGCACATCTAATTCAGATTAGCTATTTCAAGCACTGACTAGCCACATGTGGGTAGCAGCTACTGTGTTGGACAGGACAATTCTATAGCCTTACTTATGTTTTCTGCCCAATTGACCTGTTTTCACTGATGCAAGTGTGTTGAAGTCTTCTGTCACTGCTGGGTTTCTATCTATATATCCTTATACCTCCTGTATTCTCTCCTTTATATAGGTGGTTTCTGTGTTATTTACTGCATGGATAATTATATCTTCATTGGATTCAGCATTATACATTGTCCTCCTTTGTCTTGTTTCAATGCTTTTTGGCCTGAATTTCACTCTCTGGTAACAGGATCATAATCCTTTTTCCTTCCATTTACATGGCAAATCTTTTCCAGTCCTGAATTTTCAGCCTTTTTCAATTACTGTTTTATTGTATACAGCACAGAATTGCATTTTGCTTTCCAAGCCAATAGGAAAATCTTTTTACTATATGAATTAACATTTATAGATACAACTCATATATCTGGTCCAAACACTGTCATTATTTTATGTTGTAATTATGGTATTATAATGGTATTATCTCTATTTCTCTATTTGATGGGTCTTCTTTGTTTTAAATTTTTCTTTTGATATTTAAAAAGATTTGCATTCTTGTGCCTGTTATTTCCATTTTTCTTTGTCTTTAAAGTCTAATAGTTTTATTGGAATCTGTCTTGGAGTTGACATCGTTCTGGGTCAATTTTCTCAGTTACCTGGTGTTTTTCTGCTATTCTTCAATGCCTTTTAAAATACTCATTTGAGTCCATTCTTCCTTAGGCATCTTGTAATTTTAATCTTCATTTCTGATATGATTCTGTCATTTTCTTCTACTCCCTCATTGAGTTTAATCAACCTTTCCTTTTGTATTTTTTAATTCATTTCTGGCTTTTTTTTTCTTTTTTTTTTCTTTTTTTTTTTACAATTTCTGATTCAAGGCTGCTAAAACCCAGATAATGAATAATTTTACTGCTTCTTTTCTTTTAGGTTTCTGTATTAAAGTGTTCTACATTAAGCCAATTAAATATAAAGGTTCTATCAAGAAGGGAGAAAAACTGGGCACTCTATTGCCCTTGCAGAAAGTTTATCCTGGCATACAATCTCACATACACATTGAAAACTGTGACCTGAGTGATCCTACTGTGTACCTATAAATGGAAGACAAATAACCAGATCTTCTAAAGAGAGAGCCATCTTCTTAAAACCTGGGTGCATATTCTGCTTTTCAAGAAACCTGTGTTCAGGTAGAAACATGATGAATGCAAGAAAGAAAAAAGCATGTTGGTTTCAACTCATTGCCACTTTGATGTTTTGAGGGTCAATTAATCTCTCAGGTCTGATCTTTAATCTATGGGATCTGGGGTGTCTTTTTTCTTAAAGATTTCTCAGTCCTGAATACATAAGGTAAATAAATATGAATTCAAACTGGTCCCACTAGCTTTCTGCTTGAAAATAAGAAAAAGCCTGAAGTGTTTTTAGGGTACAAGAATAGAGTGTTGTACAATGCTAGACACATAAACCTGATAAATATTAGGTGAATAAACTGGAGGCTTCTTTTGAGTTAAGGTAGTAGAGAATTTCAGCAATAGCCTTAGGTTTGTCAAAGTGCTTGGAGGGTGAGGGGTTTACACGGATAAGACAGAGCTTGCTGGTCTTTATATCCACACATTCCCATGCTCTATCTAAGCAGTTGATCTTCCAGGTAACGAATGACAGCAGTCCAAGGTAATATGGAATATTCTAGATTTCAGAAAGATTGCATTACAGGGAGTACTAGAGAGAGAAAGAGGTCTATCCTAACCTGAAGTGTCTCATGAAACCAAGTCAGTCAACCTCATCTAGCCATACGCCTATCATAGCTACTGATTCCTACACATCATTGTATATCCTTATTATTCTTTCCTGGTTATGCTGACAACAAGTACAAAAAAGAAATGAAACCATATGAATGTTCAAAGAACCAGAAATAATATGGCTCTGTAGATTTTAGGCAGTCAGTAAGAAATGAGTAAGGTGAATTCATCATTCTGGAAACTTTCTTCATGAATTTTTGCTTAAACTCTTTGGAATGTAGAAAACTCCAGTAGAATGACTCCATTCCTAGTGTAGATATGCTATAGGAAATGCAGTCAATTGAACTTTTTTACTGGAGAGAAGTGGCTGCATTTGTATACTAGGACGTAATGTATAAGAATGTTCATGAATCACTATTTGTCATAGCAAAACCTGGAGCAACTCAAACGCTCATCAATTGGAAGATGGACAAATTGTGGTTTAGTTATAGACGGAATATTATACTGCAGTGAACTTCAGCTAAACATAACAAAATAGATGAATCATAGAAATATAATTCTGAGTAAAAAAAAAAAAAGCCCAAAAGATCACATATAGCATGATACTCTTTTTATAAAGTCAAAACAATTAAAGCCAAAATGTAATTTTTAGGAACACATATACATATGTGATAAAAATACATAAAAAGGAAATCAAGCAAATAATGAACACTAGTTATCTCAGGACTGGATAGGGAATGACCACACAGAAAAATTTAAGTTACTATCAATGCTGTAGTTTTATGGTTGGGAGGTGATTTCATGAGTATTTATTATTATGAAGACGATGTTATGGAGGCAACAGGACTTACAGGTGGGTCTCCAGGAAGAAGAAAGAGTCAGTGACGGCTCTCAGACCGTTTAGAGTCTATATAACAACACAATTAGTACTTTCTCATATCCAGTTAGATACTATTCTCTACTGTGTCATAACATCTTATACAAGGCTAGCAAATTAAGACTTTAATTTTTGGTTAAAAAGAAGAAAACTAGGGCTTCCCTAGTGGCGCAGTGGTTGAGAGTCCGCCTGCCGATGCAGGGGACACGGGTTCGTGCCCCGGTCCGGGAAGATCCCACATGCCGCGGAGCGGCTGGGCCCGTGAGCCATGGCTGCTGAGCCTGTGCGTCCGGAGCCTGTGCTCCGAAACGGGTACGAACAAAACAGTAAGAGGCCGGCGACCCCAAAAAAAAAAAAAAAAAAAGAAGAAGAAAACTATAACACCAGCACTGTCTGGTTTGATCATCTACCTCGCTCATCTCCTTAGTGCCAAATAACTTTAGATTGTTTCCAAAGATTACATTTGTTTTCAACAGACAAAGGCTGTGTTCCCATTGAGATCCCAAAAAAGGAAATAGCATACAGATTTCAAAGGCAATTTTAAAAGGAGCTCTAAAATGTTTGAACAATGAAATATATGCTTAGCCTTCTAAATAATCAACCTTCTGAAGTGACTGTTTTAAAAAACAGACTCATTACCTGGAACGGAGAGCTTCTCCAAAGTAGAGCAAGAACACTGCCTTCTGCCTAGCTTTCCACAAGCACTCTCATATCTGTTGAATGGAAATGCAAACTTTAGACTAAAGGACTTCTTTCCTAGGAATCACTACAATACAGCGCCCTCTGGTGCATTATATCACAGGTTTTTTTGTTTGTTTGTTTTTTGTTTTAATTTCCTTTTCCTTTAGGTTTGAGTGTTAAAGTGTTCAGTTTAAAGTATTGTAAAGGTTCAAATGACAGAGAAGTAATAGCCCTGAGTAACTTAATTTTCTTTACTGAAGGTGATTATAATATATACTTAAAATTTTGGTGTGAGATATTAGGTTAAATGACTGTAAAATCCATTTTTATTTAGAAAATGTTTTGAGTTTTCTAAAAGAAAGTAATTTAATGAAAGAACAAGATAAGTGGCCAATTTAAGAGGCCAAGGCTAGAGAGGGAAGAATTATTACATCCTTGTGGCAACATTTATCACACTTAGCGCATATTAACAACAATACATATAACTTTAAAATCTGCCTATCTCCCCAATATTTAGTAAAATACAAATGAGGCAAGCAAGGCTTATAAGGAAGGAAAAAACCAAAGAGAATCCTATTTTTGTGTCTCTTCAATATAACCTACAATAGAACCTTCTCTCCCATTCTCTCCATTTACAATTTGCCCACAAAATTATCCTAACTTTTCCAGAACCCTCTAACACATGCAAAATAAAACATTTTAAAGAACAAGTTTGCTTACAGAACTAAAATATTTTTCAAAGGTTAAGGCTTGAAATCCATCTAATATTGAACTCACTCATTTATCTCGAAACCTCTATCCTTAGGTAAGCAGTACTTTTCATGGACTTCCAAAGTAATGGCGACATTTTCATTTGATGGAGCAACAAAAATGCTCTACGTCCTCATCTTGTTTATGGCTATCCTAAAGTCGTTGCTCTTCAATTTATCAAAAGTATACCAGATCAACCAGGGCCATTTAACTGAGCTGATCAATTTTACTCTGAGTTTTGTTCTAAGAGTCACTACAGCGCTTAGCTAACTAGGTTTGAATACTGGGCCACCAAAGACCACTATTTAGAGCAGCAACTGCTCATTCAATGAGAAAGAGGCCACCGGTACTCATTCTCCCTCTATGCTAGTGGGCTCACCTCCCTTCTCTAGCCCCTCTCTGTTTTGCTTCATTATCCTCTAGTGCAAACACCACTGGCGTTCTATCACCTCACCATTCAGGTATATACACTTCAAGTAACACCAGGTGAGACTGGAGGCTCATCTCTGCAGTGTTTCCGCCACTACTCTGATCTCCAGTCAGACTGACCTCTCCATCTCACGCCGTTTCCTTTATGGTTGTTTGTCCTGTGGTTCTAATCAGACTTTAAGCTCCCTAAAATGTGCTGCTTCTGCACTCTCCTGAAATCTCAAAGTATAAATTACATGATCTGCAATAGTAATAACTATCTTTAAGAAATGGGTTTTATTTTTGAACCAGAAATATCGGTCCCACAAGCATTTATTGAATGTGTTCTGAGACTTTCAAACACAAAGGTGAATGAAATGCCTGTTCTCAGAATCACAGTAACAAAGACCGTGGTACAGTGGTGACAGCGTATGCACAAGGACAGTCTCTAAATAAAGGGATATGAACTGTGCTACTCTTTAAAATCACCATTTAGAAATAACAATATATTTTAATTCCTTAATAGATGAGAATATTTAAAAATTTTTTCCTATAAAAATATTCAAAACTGGAAAATAATGAACGTATTTCAATTTTTTTAGTTTAATTGACTTCTTAGAAATTTAAGGTATTGGGGAGAGGACTCAGAGGAAAAAGTCTGAAAAAGAAAATACTTATATAAAACTTGCCGAATGCCTACTATGTGCTAGACACTATGCTAGATGCTGGGGATACAACAGTGAGTAAAAGCCAACCTTGACCCTGCAGCGATGGAGCTTACAGCACAATGGTTGAAGCAGATAATAATCATACAAGTGAAGAGCAAGTTACAATAGTGATAAGCACCACAAAGGGAAATCACAGAGCACTGAGACTCACGGAGGCTTCCCTGAGGAAATGACATCTAAAGGAAAGATGGAGCAAAGAGAGTAACTGAAGTAGAAAGAATATGCACAAATGCACTCTGACTAGAGGGTTCACGGCAGTCTTAAGGAACTGAAAGAGAATGGGAGCAGAAGGGCAAAGGGCACTTGGTAGGAGAAAACAAGGTCAAAGAAGCAGGGAGAAGCCAGACCTTGTAGGGTCTTGTGGGTCATTTTAAGGATATATGTTCACCTTAAAGGCAACAAATACACAGCCGTTAAAGAGTTTTAGCTGTGTTACTAATTAAATTCTAAGATCACTTCTGCAAAGGATCTGGCATAGTTTCAGATACACAGTAAATATATTCAGTAAATGCTGATTCCCTCCCAAGCACACTCTGAAAAATTCACCTTTTTATCTCAGTAGTGTATTTAATCAATTAGCAATCACAGTATCTTTAGAAAATGAATTAGCATTATTTAATTTTAATCTAATGCCCATTTTCTCCCAAGTAATATAATAAAGTAGAATTCAAAGTGCACTGAAAATTAGAAGTTATTTATTGAATCATAATATGATTTTATATAGTGCTAAAAATGGAGTACAATTAAGCCAGCCTCTGTATCTATATTTTGATTGTACTCTTAGTTTTTAGTACTGAATATTTTGTAAAATATATCAATACCAAGATGAAACAAAAATGGTTAACAATATAAAGTTGTAAATGACATAATTTAAGGGATCCAAAGCTCAATATTATAAATTTATTTAGCAAGCCAAAATACACCTTCAAGGAAGGCTGAGGAACTTATCTAGAAACCAACTGTTTCTATCAACTATCTAATACACAATACAGTGTCTGTGCCCTATATACAGTTTCTGTCTTTTCAAATTTCTCTTATTTTCTCAAATGTTTCTGCTGTAATCCATTAAGACAGTTTGCAAACAATAAAATATTTTGCCTAAGACATTTCAGCAATGCATCTTAAAATTTACATTTGCAGAGACAGAAAGAAGCTAATCTTATAGATTACCAAAAAAAGGTTAAGAACCTTTGGTAATCAATTACCAGAGAGGCATGACATCAGGGAACCATACTCTTCCCAGGTATTTGGAGACTTCAGCATGAATTTCATCTAGGCTATAATCATCATTAGGGATCAAAACTTCCTCCATGATAGAGAGCTGGGTTAGCCTTCTCCCACATAGTCTTACAAACTCAATGAATGCACTGCAGCTAACTTCACATTCACTGAGGCCCAAGGCTGTTAAGTTTTTACAGTGTTCAGCAATACAAATAAGTTCATTATCAAGAGCCTGAAGACCATTAGCACATACTACTAACTCTATTAGTCGTGGACAGTTAAGACCTATCCGTCCTAGAACTGCTTTGCTTATGGAACGACCAAAATAAAGGTGAGTAACAGGGGTTTCTTCTTTGAAGAACGTCTCCAATTCCTCTTCATATAAAAAGAAGTACATAACAACATTAACTCCAGGGGAGTGTTTAATGAGTACATCCCAACTTTGTTTTTTAACAGAAAGAAATTTGATTTGTCCAGGATTTTCACTCACAACATCTATTCGAAGATGCTCAAGGTTAACATGGGTCTCACTTGAAAGTGCCAGGAGAAGTTCATCACTTAGCATGTAATAATTTAATGCCAGTTCTCTAAGACCTTGACAATGGTCAGCTACACAAAGGATTCCTGCAGGAAATGGGGAAAAATCCTTAAACACAAAGAATACGGATACTACTAATATAACATTTTGTGAATTTAAATTTGATATTATTCATTATTTGCTAAAATAGACGTAATGATTTCTGAGGAGATGGATGCCAAGATATATATAATTATACTTGTAATAAATATCCATAACTAAGATACTCCTAGGAGAAGCAATTTAAACTATACGTAGCTTATACATTAAGAGGTCTTTTGAACAAAGATTAATGAATTATGTCTCATAGGCATGTAGTTTTCAATAGGAAATTGCATTATTACTACTACTATAATAAAAAAACATCATGCAAGCGTAAAAAATATAACCTACCATCAGATGAAACATGAGGACAGCTACTCATTTTGAGGCGTCTTAGAGTATCACTATTATTGGCCACAAGAATCTTCAAAGAAGGATCATCCACTGGTGTGTCTT